AATAGTGGTAAAAGCACTTATAAGAAAAAATTAAAATCAACAGAGAGTCTTTTTAAAAGAAAAAAATTCGATAACCATAAACATAATGAAGGCTATTGGCACAGAGTTCAATATTTATCAGACTTGAATAGTTTGGAAAGTGTTGTTTTAGATGAACCTCAAGAAATATTGTTGAAAAAAGAATTAGATTTTTTTATTAATAATAAAGAATTTTATAAAAGAATTGGCTTGCCTTACCGACACGGTTTTCTTTTTTATGGAAAACCAGGAACTGGAAAAACTAGTTTGATAAATGCTATATCATCTTATTTATCTCGAGATATATATCATATTAATCTCAAAGATTTTAAAAATGATAATGAAATAAGTATAGCATTTAGTTCTGTTCTACCAAATCAAATAATTGTTCTTGAAAAATTTGATACAAAATCAAATGTTCTTTATAAAAAAGGTGGTCACCCAAATTATTGTAGCTTTATTTCTGAAGATACAATAAAAAAAAATGATGATTTATCAAAATTTAAAGACTTATTGTTATTTATTAGTTTATTTAATTTCTTGAATGTTTGGATAGGCAAATGTTATCAGAAGAAACTATAATAATTATGACAACGAATCACATCGAACAACTTGACCCGCATGGTTAGTATTCTTTTGAGTTTATAGGTTATTAAAAAAACCTAGTGTGAGCCATATAAACTATTTATAACTTCAATTCTAAAATTTATACCAAGATATTTTTGAGTTATTTTTTCCAATTTTCAGAAAACTTATTTTATTTTTATTTTAGTATCCGACCTGGTCACATGGATATTGATTTGAATCTTGAATATTGTACATATTATCAAATTAGAAAAATGTTACATAAAGTTATAAAAGATCCAAACGCAGAATTCCTATCTGATATCATAAAAAAAATTCCAGAACGATTATTGTCTCCCTGCAATGTTATGATAACTATGATGTCAAATAGAACCGAAAGCCATGAAATACCAACGAAAATTTTTGAACAGGTGGAAAAATATAGTCAGATGAAATTAAATAAAATTTTTAATGAAATAAACTAATATATATATATAGAGTACAAACTAATATATATTAACCTTAAAGTTTTGATTTAGACGAAATTTATTCAATCCGAAGAATTCAATTAATAAATCTATAAAAGTAATAATAAAAATAATTGAACATTTGAAGCATTTATATCAATTCATTGAATAATAAATAACTTTTAATTGTCGATTTTATTCAATCTGAGAAATTCAAAAATTGTATATTTAATTCTGATATTTTAGCAAACCTAATGAACAAATTCTTAATATTCAAGTTTATTACTAGGAAAAACTATTTATATCAACTTAATAATTTAGGACGTTCATTCTATTCAAAAACTAATAGTTTGTTTAGACCAATCATGATCGAGGATTATTAAAAAAATTTTACACAAAAATTTATTATAGAGCAAATTTTTACAAAAACGGCCAGCTTTGCATTTATAATTAAATACGTAGAAAATTATGAAATTCATGTATTTAATTATAATACATAAGTAGGTTAAAAAGGCTATTTTTTTAAAAATTAGCTTCTGAATTTACTCTTGATAGTTACCAACCCATCTAACAATGCCCAACCCATCCTTAAACACCTGAGTATTTCAACAAACGGTTCTACAGTTTAGTATAGCTATTTTATTGAGTTTTTTTTTGGTTTTTTAACTTGTTTAGACGTCAAAAAAGCCCTTTTGTTATTTGTAACAAGTGCTTCATTTGTAAGTTTTCCAATGTCACTTAGGAGCAAATTTTTATTCAGATGATTTCATTTTTTTCTATAAAATCAATATAAATATGGGATCACGAGATAATTGAACTTTGTTTGGTTCAGGTAAAATTGTGGGTTTAACCCATCCTATTTAACACGAAGCAACCAAACTTTTAAATATCTCGGAATACCATTATTATAGGCTCATTAGAATCATTTGAAGAGAAGGTCATTTTAGTCCGTCCGCCAGATGAATCGGTGAGTAAAAGGTTCATTTACTGAAAAATAGCTTATTCTAAAACTAAATATCAGTTAAGTTGTAAAGTAAAATTACTGGTAAGTATTTGATCAATTAATCATATTCATTTAATTACCCATTTTAGATATTACCAAAATAGTAAATAAACATATTAAGCAACAAAGAAATAAGTTACCAAAATAGTAAATAAACATATTACACAACAAAGAAATAAGTTAAATAAGTTAATTTTATCTGGCTTGTTACCTATCTCATGTTATAAGTCTCATTAATTCTGTTAAATCTAAATTTGCTGCTTTTTTTGAAGACTCTGAATTTTCTATATTTTTCGTTGTTTGCAATTCGTTTAGTACAGAATTATCAATTAAATTTGATGTTGACTTCCCAATCTCTGACTTATCTGTCAACTGCTCTCTATAAATTAACGCAGAAGGATCCCCTATATGATCTGCTGACTGCTATCTGTTAAAGTAGCTTTCTAATAGAATTTGGTTGTTTAGGCCAAAAATATCATATTCATAAAATTCTGATTGATAAAATGATTCTTCTTTAGTCCTTTTAGAATAATCTATTTGGTTATTATTACTCTCACTTGAATATTTAGGATAAACTTCCTTGCAATTATTTATTTCATTTGACTCTTTTGATATAGAGTTATTCAAATAAAATTAAGTATTTGTTTCATCTTTTCTGTTAGATCATTATTTTTGTGGTTATCGAATTTTTTTCTTTTAAAAAGACTCTCTGTTGATTTTAATTTTTTCTTATAAGTGCTTTTACCACTATT